GTACCAGTGGAAAATTAAAGTTGCAGACATATATAGAGTCGTATAATGAATCAGTAAAATTTAAATTTGCAAATGTAGAATCGTACCATAAAAAACTTATCTTTTAAAAAAAAAGATAAACAAGATGCCAAGTCCATGCGCCATGTAAAAAAGAAATAAAAAAATTTTAGTTAAAAAAACTGGGCGCGCTGCTAAGTTTCAAAATTACAATGCACCTTAAAGTAACATTAATTAATTTAAACACAAAACATATTTTAACTGTAATGAGTTTAAAAGTAACAATTTAATTTTAATATTGTTAGAATATTATTTAGCAGCGCTCCCAGTTTTTTTAACTAAAATTTTTTTATTTCTTTTTACATGGCGCATGGACTTGGCATCTTGTTTATCTTTTTTTTTAAAAGATAAGTTTTTTATGGTACGATTCTACATTTGCAAATTTAAATTTTTACTGATTCATTATACGACTCTATATATGTCTGCAACTTTAATTTTCCACTGGTACAAGTTTCTACTTTCACTTGGCGCAATTTTTTTTTTATTTCATTACTTTTGTTACGATTGTACATGAATTTATAATCGATAATTTTTCATACAATTCTATTGTACATGGGTTTGCAATGTAGGATTCTACATAAGTTTGCAATGGATCATTTTTAATACAATTCTACATGAGTTTGCAATGGTTAATTTTGCCTAGGATTCTACATGGGTTTGCAATGATTAATTTTTATAGGATTCTACATGGGTTTGCAATAGGATAGGATTCTACATGGGTTTGCAATGGATAATTTTTGTTAATGGCGTGCCCTTAACTGGTCGCCTTTTTTTACCTTTTTTAAAGGTGAGTTTTTAGAGATTATATCATTCATTTTTGTATATTTTTATGACCGGAATAGAACAATTATTAAACATGTTTATCTAAACTTCTTTGCTTAAAATGATGTGTACAATCATATCCTAGAATCCTGATCATTCCTCCTAAAGCACCCTATTTATATAAATTTACCCATATGTGTGTGTGTGTGTGTGTGTACTAATGTCGAGCATTTTTTATACATTTTCTATTAAATTTAGATAAAAGTTGCAGGATTTCGAAAAAGAAAAAGTTGACACAGACTTTTTCCTAAACGGCGATTTTCAAGGTTATTTAAAGGTCACTTATATTTTCAAAATAGAATTACCTTAATTTTTCTCATATAAATCGATTCCTCGCAATATTTACTATAAAAAGTTGTAAAGGTATAATTTTTACATAATCTTACATAAACTTCGAAATATTACAAATATTTTATTTTATGAAATATTTCAGTTTATGTAAAATTATGTTAACTATCTTTTAAATTATTCACTTTTAGCCATCTTACCCTTACAACCTTTTATAGTGAATATTGCAACAAATTGGTTTATATATATAATATATATATAACATCAGTTATTATTAATTGATGTTTACATTTATTTTTAGACTTACTAGAGCTCAAATGCTCCACATTTTTTGCAAAAACTGTTTATTCTACAGATTTCAAATATGCTTTTAAATGATGATTGAATATTTCCTTTTTTTAATTATTTTTATTATTATTTTTCAATCTCAATCAACTTTTATAACTTTATGCCAGCACGATACAAATACATGTGTCTTTATTTTTTTTATTATTTTCATTATTATTTTTCAATCTCAATCAACTTCTATAACCTTATGCCAGCAGGATACAAATACATGTATGTCTTTATTATTGTATCAACTCTTGTCTTTTCCATGTAACCATGTCTTCATAGTTTGAATTATCCCTTCATCTTCTCAATCTTTCGCAGAGATTTAATTAATTAATACACTTCACACGAAATAAAGTTTGCTGGAAGATATACAGCAAACGATAACTGTAAAAACATGATTACGTGGAAAGAACAAGAGTTGGTACAGTAAAGGCAAGTAAGTAAGTACATGTAATGTATCGTATTGGCATAACGCTATATCCGCGGAGCAGATAATGTGGCTGTAGAGGTAGTCTGCAGTGCAGCTAATGTGGACGTAGATGTTGATTGAGATAATTGTCTAATATAAAATAGAATTTAAAAATTTAGTTTAAAAAGCTGTTGCATATATAAATAAAGTTTATTTTTTCTAAATTTGGAATATGTTTAATTAATTAATTTTTTAAGTCTATGTTTAATAAATTTTTTAAGTCTGTATTCAATAATTTTATTCATTTGATAAATACATGTATGTCTTTATTTTGATATGTTTAATATAATTAGAAATTCATTATTAATTAGATATGTAAACTATAAATTCATATATAATATTTGAAAATATATGTGAATATTTAAATTTTTATCTTCTCCTTCCTCTCCTTCAATCTCTTTAATATCAATATGTGTATGTGTGTACACGCGCGCACATTTGTACGTATTTATTTAATTATTGGATAGTTGAGAGTACTTAATTGATAAAAAATTATGACAATAATAATCCTTGTTTTTTTTCTTATTATTTACTCAGATTTTTTTGTCTATCTTATAAGATAAACACTTTAGAGATTGAATATTTCAAGTAAACTAATTGTAAGTAAATTTCACATTAATGCATATAGATGTTTAATCATGAATGTACTAAATAAGTACACAAGACGAACAGTGAGTGAGTGAGTGAGAATGAGAGAGTGTGTGTGTGTGTGCGTGTGTGTGGAGAGAGAGAGAGAGAGAGAGAGAGAGAGAGAGAGAGAGAGAGAGAGAGAGATTAGCCAACATAACCCCCACGCTGCCGATCATGAATGTACTAAATAAGTACACAAGACGAACAGTGAGTGAGTGAGTGAAATGAGAGAGTGTGTGTGTGTGTGGTGTGAGAGAGAGAGAGAGAGAGAGAGAGAGAGAGAGAGAGAGAGAGAGAGAGAGAGAGAGAGAGAGAGAGTTAGCCAACATAACCCCGCACGCTGCCGATATGGCGGAGCGCCACTATCGCCATCTGTTGTAAAACGTGCGAGATGGACAAAATTACCACTACATGCATCTTGCATGTGTTGTGTACGTGTGATATATGTGTGCGCATGTGTTGTATACGTGTGAATACGTGTAGCACGATACTACTATGTATGCGTGGTCGATGATGATAATGATGATGATAATGATGATGATAATGATGACGGGGACGTTTCTTAATAGAAATTTTTCATATTTCGACTTTGCATTTATATATCTCAGCTTACAAATCACGTAGAGCAGAAATAAAGACAATTTTATTATATAATTCGAACTCAATCTATCGATTAAGTCTAGTATAAACTCGATTGCTTCAGCCATTATTGAGGATTAAATATTATAAAGACTCAAATTTTTAACTAGTTATTAACTTACACATGTTTCCGCTACGCCCTTAACTGGTCGCGAGACACTACCGTATCTCTTGATGAAGTAGCAAAAGTAAGGACAAAAGTGTACTATGAAATTCTCAATTTTATTTAACAGCTTTTATCGTAATATTTAGCAATTGGAGTCTAACTCGCGTATTGTTAATTAGAGTTACTGTAGGATGTAATATTTGAAGTGGTAATTGAGGGAAATATAAGATTTTTTGTCTCCTCTTGCTATACTTTTTCTCGCTCGCCTAAGATGTTGTAATATAATTTTTAAATCTTAATCCGTTGTCTCGGTGAATGCTTTATAAACTAAAGATGTTTATTCTAGTAGAATCATAATATATACACTCAAATACAAACACACTCATATACCGATACACATAAAGAAAACGTGAAAACATATCATTTGATATTAATGTCAATAATTCAAATTTATTTATAATTACATAAATATACATTATCTCAGAATTATTAAAATACAAAAAAATATGTAGACACGTAGACACATATATATAGCGTAATAAGTTAAAATTTGATCAATTCTGTTAATGTTGGACAATAGAAAAGAATATATAAATAGAATAATTAAAAAAAAAATTAATTAATTGTAATTACATTGAGCTGTAACAACATTACAACAAAATAAAAATAGAGTCAAAGACATTGCATATTTGAAAAAGATATATATATATATATATCTTTTCTATAAATTTTTAGCACAATTAACATTCTTAGAATATTGTAATATTTAATGATGTACATAATAATATATAATGTAAATTTCGAATATATGAACAATTGTTTCGTTTCTAAATAATCTACCATAGAATACGAATAAAATAATGTAATAAAATATCTGATCAAAATATATATATGTATATATATATATATATATATATATATATATTTTATATATATATATATATATATATATATATACATGTACAAGTATAGTACATATAAATATATAAGAATATTTTATGTCCCTATCAGTAAATTCGAAGTGCACAAAATTATAAAACAGTAAAATTATAAGATAAATTAATGAAAATTAACATATCTATACACTATATATATGTACATATGTATAAATATTTTAAAACAACTTTAAAAAAGACGAGCATTTTTTTAGTTTTAGAAATTTATCAATTTAATGCAATTACACATTAAATTCAAATGACCAAAGAATTATTTCATTGGCCTCCCAATTTTTAGCAGAAGTTGATCATAGAATATATTACGTACGAAATATAATGCATGTCAATTCAAATAATCAAAATGTTGAATCCTATATGACATCTTCCATAATTACACATCATTATGCAATAATTACTGATCTGTTACATCAATCGTTTTATAGTGTAAAACTGATTTGTGTAATTCTAAACTTAATTTTTATCAGGAAAACCGAACTCGTTTTTACATCATAAATCACATGAACTATTTTGCCTTCAACTAAGGATCGGGTTTGCAATTTAATAATATTAATTAATATTAATACTAACAAAAATATATTATTACTTAATTAATAATTAATTAAATATTAATAAATATTATTGATAATTAATAATTTAATATTAATAAATATTATTAATTAATAATCAATAATATGATTTAAAAAATTAATAAACATTCTTGAAGATTCTATTTTTTTTTCAAATCCTGAATTTCCAAAATGTTTTCAAGAAGTCTCGACAAGCCTCGGCTTTTTCATTGGCGGACTGTCTGATGGACCTGCGTCATCCTTCGGTACAATTTTAGAATTGGTCCTGTCACTGTTACAAGAACCGACAGAAAGGATTTCTTCTTGAAGCGCGTCATAGATCAACCAGACAAACTGACTATTGCGATTTACGTTAACCACTTCCGGGTGCGGACCGGATTCTTTTCCGGTGAGGATCATAGTTATCGCGCCTACGATCATCATCCCATTTGTGACCTTGACACGAGAACGGTGCACAATATTGCCGAAGCATAAGGAGAGGCTGTCCCGTCTGTTTCCGCAAAAATCTAAATAAAAATTGGTGGTTTCCATCAATTCTTCGATATCTAACGCTTTCAGCAGATCTTTTATTGTCAAATTTCTCTCCATATCGAAAGGCGAAAAAACCGAGACGTCTGTAACATTTTCAACGTGTGATTTTCTACTATATTTTAGCAGATTGCGCAATTCGTCGATTCCATTGCTCGTCGATAATCGTTTGGTCAATTCGAAAAGGTCGTCGCTGCTAATGTTCTCTTTTATCCTCCACTTATCTGAATATTCTCCATCGAACGAAGCAGGTGAAAACACAAACAGCGACATATCGCCATTCTGGAAGGGTATGTCGCTCACGTGCATGCTCAATTTCTTATGATAGTCTTAAAAAAAAAACAGTATTAAAAATATAAAAAATTACATAAAATTGTTAAGAAAGATGAAACCAGAAAAACATGCATTTTTATAAATTTATAATATTTAATAGTCTTAATGGAAATGTTCACTTTCTGAAATTTTTTTACGTAAAATCTAAATATAATTGGTGAAAATCAAAATTACACTTTTAATTTCGAAAAAAACATTTAATTATAAATTTATTTATTTTAAAATTTATTTTTTCATATTTAATTTTTCAATTCAAAGTTCACTTTCTCATTAATGTATTAGGATACAAACTGGGTGTCTTTGACAAATACTAACGCGACAAATTTCTTATAGCCACTGCTGCATAAGCATCAAACATCTTATTTTCATTATATTTTTTACTTTTTATTATATATTTTTTTATATATATTTTATTATATATATATATATTATCGTATATTTTTCACTTTTTATTATATATATGTTTTAAATATTATACATATATTTTCATTATACATATATATTGTATATATTTCATTATATATTTTAAATTTTTATTGGGTACCCGAAGACATTGAAAATTAATTTTAGGCGGTGTTTCTTTTACAAAACACAATATGCTTTATTTAGGAATAATAAAAAAAATTATATTATGAGAAGGTTTATATTATGTAAGTTTAAAAAATAAAAATATGGCGTACTCACAGTTTATGATTAAACGGTTTCTAATTGGTACGATAGCTTGAGGAACCAATGAATTTTGGAATTCGCAACAGACACAGGTCACCAAAAGAATATCATTAACTTGTTTACACTTGGATAATCCCACGAGATAATAAAAGCATCCCTTTCTTACCGCTCTGCCTATTAATTTATTAATGTAATTTACTTTCAATTCAGAAAATTTATTCGTATTTAAATAATTGATTGGTCCATAAATAAAATGAGATAGTACACTCTCTGCTTCTGAATCATTCATTACATATTTCAACCAACACATGATGTTATGAGTGCAATACAAATGTTCCGGATAAACCACGAATTTTATCTGAAACCAAAAATATCAAATGAAAAATAAAATTTCCATACCATATTCCTAGGCATCAAACACTAATCATTTATAAAAATTGCTTCAAATTATTATTGGTGCAAATATTATTTTCATATGTGCCTATATTCTTTAAATTTATAAAGTTACTTCATTTCAAGGAATCAAAATAAAAAAAGTCAAAATACAAGATTTTTCGATACAAAAGATTTTGACTAAAAGATCTATCATTTAAAACTAATTGCTGAGAAAAATTTTTGATTGTGACAAAGCTTCGAACTTTAATTTCGGAAAAAAATTTATTATTCTCAACGCTATTAACCCTTTATTAATCTTTCAGATTGGCAGAGTTTACATAATTGTTTTTACATATTATTTTATACATAAACAGCAAATTTAGCTTTTTTCCATAATGAAATGTATTATCTAATGCAAAAATGCGATAGGAATGTTTACAGTCGACTCCTTTTTACAAATGCAGTAATTGATCAAATCTGCTTTGCTGATCCCGTTTAAAGAAAGAATAGTTATGAGACGATTCGTTATTTCTCCTGTAATCAATATATTTGTTAGGAAAAGACCCTCATATATGGAAAGTGGACTAAAGACAAAATTTTTATCCGGATTGACTTTCATAACTTCATGGAGACATTTGATCGCGAAATTGAAACGCCCATCCTTTAGTTGAGTTTCTAGGAAAAAAAATAGATAAATAAGTAAAAGGTCAAATTCAGAAAAAAAAAACGTAAAAAATAGCTAAGATAATTTAATTATAATAAATCACAACATTTTTATATGAAATTATTACATCAATTAACAATACATATAATTAAATACGCAATAAAGTCAACAGCATGTAATATATTAAAAATTAATCGACAATTATTTTCAACGCGCATAGCTAAATTCTATTATAACTCATATTTAATATAAACATATAACTGAATCAACAATAACTATATAAGAACACTCAAAGCAATAAAAAAAGAAAATAACTTAAAAAATGTGTTTAACAATATGACTATGGTTTGAACACCGTTCCTTTAATAACGAATTTTACTTACATTTAAAAAGTTTATGCAAAACTTAAAATCTATTAATTTTATTATTAATAAATCTTGAAAGAAATATTTAATGATAAATAATAAAGAAATTACATTCTACAGTGATTATATCTAAAATTCTAATGAACTTTTCTTCTTTCCTGAAAGCTGACTTATTGTTAGTCATATTTTAAACTTCAATTTATTGTGAAATATATATATAACGTTTTACAATTCCCTAAATTATAATCGATGCAGATTTAGAAAAAAATTATGGTTAGTCAACCTAATTGCAAGACTTGTTGTAACAGCAAGCCATAGTTATTAAATTACAAAGAAATACCAATTCTTAAGTTTCTTCAACAATATATAAAATAATAAATAAAAGCAGTAACGTTTTTATATTACTTTATACTTTAGATTCTTAACTTCTCGATAAATCAACTCGATAAATACATGATTTCATAGAATAATATTTAAACTTACCAATTTCTCTTGCTCTCTCTTCACTCATTACGTTTTTCATCCTTTTTTGTTATAAAATAAAAAATCAAAAACAAAAGTGTGTGCCACAAAATTTGCAAATTTTATTTAACAGTTTCAATCGCAATATTATTTAGCAATTGCAGTTTCATTCAAGTATTGCTAATTAGAGTTGCTATATAATTATAGTTGCTATGTAATATTTGCAATGGTATTTGAGGCAAATGTAAGATTGTTTTTTTTCTTTTAGGTATAAATACTTTCTCTTTCGCCTAAGATTTTGTAATATAATTTTCAAATTTTAATCCGTGCTTTCCCTCGATTTCTCGTAGACTAAAGATAATCTATCAAAACAATAACATATATACAAGAATACAAACAAATTTACTCACGGATATACTTAAACAGAACATCAAAACATATAATTTAATTTTAATGCCAAAAATTGAAAATTTATTTATAATTATATAGTGTCACATCTCACATTACGTAATACAGTTATAAGAATATATAGTAATAGGTAGACATACATATATATATATATATATATATATATATATATATATATATGTATATATGTATACATATATAGCGTACATCTAATGTAAAAGAATAAAAATTCATCGATTCTGTTGATGTTGGACAATTAAAAAGGATCTAAATAATATTTTACAAAAAAATTATAATGCACAGAACGCTATACAATTTTATAACATGATTAAAATGGAGTTAATGACATCGCATTGATACACATATTTGAGAAAGAAACATTTATTTATATTTCTTTTTATTAAAATGAATAGAATCATTAATTAATTTGGCTATGAGAGCACAGCCTATATTCTTTCTATTAAGTTCTGATAGGATAATTAAAATGCTTACAATTTTATAAGCAATATTAAAATATGAACACAATGATACATATAAGTATTGTTAAATATCGAAATAAACAATTTTTTCGTTTATAAATTGTTTTAGCATAGAATACGAATAAATTGATTTAATGGAATATATGACAGAAACAATATACATAGATGCATATACGTACATACAAACATTCATACACAAGTGCTTAAATTATGATGTATAAATATTTATATATACTTACATAAAAATATACTTATATAAAAATGTCTTTATATGTATGTGCATATGTGTGTATATATGTATACATATATGTATGTGTACCTTAAGGAACGTATTTTAAATAATTTATCAGAACTTATAAAATATACATTATTGTTACCTGATAATATCATATTTTTTATACAACTTTTAAAAATTTGAGCAATCTTCTATTTAGTTTCAGAAATTTATAAATTTCACACATGTGCAAGCATTAAATTCAAATAACCAAAAGATTATATCATTAATCTCCAAATTGTTAGCAGAAATTGTTCATAAAATATGTTGCGCACAAAATATAATGCATGTCAATTTGAATCATCAAAATGTTGAATCATAAGAAGAAATAAAAACTTATCACATAATTACATATCATTATGCAGCAACTACAGATCTGTTATATAATTCGTTTTTCATAGTGCATAATAGATTTACGAAATTCCAAACTTATAATCTTCGTTAAGAATGTCAAACTTGTTTTTACATTTTACCCCATAAACTATTTCGCATTAAACTGCGATGGTCGGATATTCAATATTTAAAAAATTAATAAAAAAACCATTTTTTAAACACCTACTTTTTTGAAAGAATTTGTTTCTCAATCTAGAATTTCCAAAAGGTTTTTAAATCTAGGCGAGCCGTTGCTTTTTCGTTGGCGGAACGCCTGATGGACCTGACTGATATATATCTATCGGTACAATTTGAGAATTTGGGCAGGTACTATTATTAAAGCTGCCGACACAGAGGATTTCTTCTTGCAGTCTGTCATAGATCAGCCAGACGAAAGGTATATTACACCATTTAACGTCTTCTATTTTGCCATCCGGAGAGGCGTCTCCACCGGAATGGATCAAAGTCACTGCGCCTAGAATCACATCATCTCTTGTGGCTCTTATGTGAGAACGGTGCGCAACATTGTTGATGTGCACCTTGGGACAATTAATTTTCAACGGTAGGCATTTTCGGCATTTAGTTTGCAATTCGAGCATTTCGGACGTTATCAATTCTTCGACGCCTAATGATTTTAATAGATCACGGACTGGCACATTTTTCTCCACCTCGAAAGATAAACAAACATTTTGGGAACATGTAAATTCTTTTATGACAAACTTCAATGTTCTACTGTTTCTTAACAGCTCGCGCAAGTTGTTCATTCCTTCGTCGGTCGACATTCGTTGGGTCAAATAGAGAAGATCATTCCTGTTGATGTTCTCAATGATCTTCCATTTACCTGAGCTTAACGCTGCAGGTAGGAACGTAAATAACGAAATGTTGGCATTGTTATAGGGTATGTCCATCACATACATGCTCAGTCCTTCATGGTAGTCTAAAAAAAACGTTAAGCTTATACTGAAAAAAATATTTGTGTAAAATTACTGGATCATGTTGATCTTTTTCCGACCCAGCATAATCATGCAATACTACTAGTCATATAGAAAATTTAATATGTTTTTTGTTATATAAATATATTATTATATATATTAACAGATTACTTTTGGATATAAATCCGAAAGCAATACTTATTAAAAATAAAAGTAAACGATATTCTCTCTACATAACGTTCTGTTTAAAATTCAATTAAAAATTACATTATGAAAAATTTGTTACATATGTTATATAATAAAATAAATAAATGGCGTGCAATTACAGTTTATAACTTCATTGTTTCTAATAGTCGATATATTTGGTGCGTCAGTTTGATGGAACGATAGTTTACGGAATATGCCACTCATAAAGCTCATCAAAATAAAATCGTTTCCAGTAAATGTCATTTCGGCTAATCCCTCAGGATAATAAATGTATCCCTTCGTTTGGTTTACGATTTGTCTTAAAACGGAATTCACTTCGTCCATATTGTCATCAGAATCAAGGAGCAAATCTAAAGAATTGATTTCTGAGCCAAACATATGCAGTACTGCTTTATCATAAAATTTTATATCATGTTTACACCAACATTTAACGTAACAATCGCAAGAAGGGTCAGGAAGATCTTTTTGTTTTTTTATTATTTTACTCCATTGTTCCTGGAATCGAAAATATCAAATAAATTGTTTATAAAATATTCATTTTCTTCTAGATAACAGACATCAATTATTTATAAATTGTTTTATTCAAGCTTTTATTTTTGCAAGCACATATTAAATGTGGTTATATTCTTAATATAAAATTAGACAGGAAAAAAAATCAAAATTATATGGAGATGTTTTGCTGACAAACATTTCTGAATTTTATCAAAAAATCTGTCATTTAAAAAACTGCTTACTGACAAATGTGAGCTTTAACAAAGCATATTGAATTTCAATTTTGCTAAAAAATGTGTTTTTTTGTCATCGCAATTAACCTGTTATTAATATTTCAGAACAGCGGCATTTTTGTTTCATATAACTATTTTTACATGTTATTTCATATACCGACTGTAAATTTTGACTTTTTTCCATTAAAGAATATATCATCAAATGTAAAATTTGATAAGTAGGTATATTTACTTATATTAACCTTTTTTTGTTATAAGAACAATAATTTGTCAAATCTATTAGGTTGATGTTCTTTAAAGAAAGAATCTCGTTTAGACGCATTGCAATGCTACCTTTGATCAACATGTACATTCGTAAAAGTGCTTCATATATGCAAGACGGACTGAAGACAAAATTTGTATCCGAATTAATTTGCATAATTTCATTTAGACATTTAACGGCAAACTGAAAACGCCCCTCCTTTATTGTATTTTCTAGGAGGAACAGATTATAGATAAATAAGTTATTACATATCAAATTCAAAAGGAAGAAATCTTAAGCACATCTAGTTATTTAATTAAAATATTAAATTACAATAAATATCGATAAAAACATTAACATTACGTACATGTAATTAAACGTATGTTAAAATCAAAGCATAATGTACGGATATTTCTCCTCCAGTTATTCTAAATTCTTCAATTAAAATTTTATTGCAACTCACATTTAATATTAAAATCAAAATACAATTACAGAATAATTTACATATAAAAACAACAAAACATTAATTAAACAATTTAAGAAAATAACTGATGTACATCTAAATATAAAGTACACTGTAATGATTATATCTAAAATTATAATTTTCTTTTTTTCTGTTGTAAAAGCCAACAAAATCATACTTTACTTTAAAATTAAATTTTTATATATACATATATATATGTATATGTATATATATATATATATATATATATATATCACGCTATACGATTAGCTAATTGTAAGTATATCAAAATCGGCGAGTGGCACTTTGGTAGTGTTACTTGTAAGTTATATTTAAATTGACGTAATTTAGAAAAAATTATGGTAGTCAATCTAATTGCAAGACCTAAATCAATTGCTATTAAACTCCTTAGAAATCTAAATTTTTAAGACAACAATATATCACATAATAAATAAAAGAAATAACATTTTTACTACTTTTATATCATACGTTATTATCTTTTTAATAAATGAGCATATTAATTACATAATTTTATACAATAATCTTTAAACTTACCAATTTCCTTTGCCAATTTGGTATTCATATTGCTTGTATTTTTTAGTTATAAAATAGCAGAAACAGCGTCAAAGGTATGTACTACAAAGTTCGTAAAGTTTATGTAATAGCTATGAATAACGATATATTATTTAGTAATTGCAGTCTCGCTCTTGTTTTGTTAATTAGCGTTGCTATGGAATGTAGCTTCTGTAGCTGTTGTAGGATGGTAATTAAGACGAATGTAAAATTATTTTGTACTTTTTGTATACTTTCTTGCCTAAGACTTTTTTGTAATTTTCAAATCTGAAATTCACTCTCGCTCAATTCTTCGTATACTGAAGATAATAACTGTTCTGCAGAATCATAATATATACACATAGATAAGAAACGTATTCATACACATAAATCTATACGTAAACAAAATACAAAAATATAACATTACATTTTAATATCAAAAATTCAAAATTTATGTGTAATTATATAAATCTTACATCACTTCTTATGACACAATTGTGAAAATATGGATAAAGTAGTAGATAAATACACATACAATATACAATACCTGCAATATATGAGAAATTACTTTATAATTAAACCAATATATGTATGTATGTAACCAATATACGTATATAATTTTATACAATAATCTTTAAACTTAACAATTTATTTTGTCTTAACGTCACTCATCTCGTTTCCCATCCTGTTTAAATTATAAAATAGCAATAGCAAAGACAAAGTATGTGCTACAAAATTCGCAAATGCTAATTAGCAGCTTTGATCTTAATATTATTTAGCAATTGCCGTCTCGCTCGCTTATTGTTAATTAACCTTGCTATATTGCTTATAATTTTTACAATAATAATTGAGACACATGTGAGATTATTGTATCATTCTTATGTATCTTCTCTTACTTGAGATTCTTTTGTATAGTTTTAAAATCCCTTCTTGTTCTATTCTTCGTAGACTGAAAATAACTGATTCATTAAAATCATAAAATGTATACACACGAACGCAAACACTCTCTTATACAGATACATATAAAAGAAAGACATCAACACCAATCATTTATTATTAATGTTTAATATTCAAAATTTATTTATAATTATATAAATATGTCATCTTACATTTCGTAATACGATTATAAAATACATTATAAAAATATAGTGTAATAAATAAAAACACACATACATGTATATATATTTATATACACACACATATATATACATATATATATATATGTATATATATATATATATATATATATATATATATATAAATAAAAAAATGCACATAAGAATATAATTACATATTATAATATATATATATATATATATATATATATATATATATATATTACATATGCTATTACATACATGTATATATATATATATATATATATATATATATAGTATATATATATAGCGTAAGGCAAAAAAATAAAGAAACCATCTATTCTGTTAATGGTGTTACATTCCGGTCTTACAATAAAAAATAATTTACATATAATTATACTAGTATAACAATATGCAAAATATGTCCATAAATAATAAGTTATAATTATATGTAATTATATTCTTATGTGCATTACTGTCTTAATTGTGCATTTTTTTATTTAATTCAATATATTTGTACTCAATTTTTTAACAATTACATTAATGTTTATATTTTTATCAGTTTGATTTCTCATATTAAAATCAAATTGATTAGCATAATTACACTTTTAATATATTTTATGCGTCACTTTTTGTATACTACATATAATATTTAAAACTATTATTTACATACAATATTATATATAGAACATTACGTAAAGAAATATTTATGTTATATGTATAATTATGTATAAGAAAGTCAATCAGCAATATATAAAATTATATACAAAGTAATAAAATGATATATATATATATAAATAATTATATATATAATTATATATATATACACGTTTTTTATATACTTTTTATATAATTATACATTATGACAAATAATTACATACAAAAAATTATTATCAGGATACACAATAAGTGTATAAATATAAAAAAATATTTATACATATGTATAAATATATTTATATATATGAATATGTATGTACATATGTGTATCCTTATATATTTTTAGTGGTTTATAAAATATACATATTGTCACAAAATAATATCAATGCTTACTAATGTAAGTTATGCTTCATCGCCTTATAATGAGTAAGTTAAAAAGACAAAACCATTTTGCTCGGCACTATTACAAGTGCCGACATAGAGAATTTCTTCTTGTAGTGTGTCATAGATCAGCCAGAGGAAAGCCTTATTGTAATTTACGTTGACTACTTCACTGTTTGCAGAGGAGTCTTCTTTCCTGTGCATCAAGATCATCGAGACTACATCACTTCCATTTTTTGACATATCTACAATTTCAAATTTGGGTTTATCGATAGAATTTCAAGAGGACTCGTCGATTCGCCGCTTTTTGCTTGGCGGGCAACCTGATGTACTTGGCATATCCGCCGATACAAGTTTAATAACAGGTTCGGTATTATTACAACTGCCAACATAGAGAATGTCCTCATATTCTCGGTCACCGATCATCCAGATGACTGGATTATTGCAATTTATGTCGACAATATTGGAGTTCGAAGGAGGGTCTTCTCCTTTGCTGCTAATCAATGTCGTCGCACACACGACAACTTCTTCATTTGTGGCCTTGATGTGAGAACGATGCACGGCATTGCGGATTTGCACACGGGGGTTATTCCCAAATAAAGTATCCAGTTCGATCATTTCGGACGTTAATAATGGTATATTTAATGTTTCGAAAAGCTCACGGATTGTCAGATCTTTCTCCAACTCGAAAGGCAAAGCATGCATAGAATCTACCAATAACCGACTTGGTATGTAAGATTTTAACACATTGCGCAGTTCTCTGATTCCCTGCATGGTCGACAATCTTTGGGTGAAATTTGAAAGGTCAGCGTGGCTGATGTTCTGAGTGATCCTCCAACCTGAAAATAAGTTTGTTAAATTAACAAATATTTAGTTCAAATAGATCATTTATTTAAAACAAATAAATATTGATTTGTTTTGAAAAGAATTTTTATATCAAATAAATATTTAATTGTTTCAAATAAATGATATATTTAGATGTATTGAACTAAATATTTGTTAATTTAACAAACCTATTTTATTATTGCTTATTTTGGTTAACGAAGCAGGTGCCAAGATAAGTAGCGACAAGTTTGATAATGTGCTACGTAATTTGGTCACGTGAATGTCCAATGGTGGATAAAAATCTAAGAACAATATTAAAAATGTAGATAACTGTATAAATATAGTCCAGATATAGAAATCCCGAAATACATTTGTTCTTTACGATTAGAACATTATACATTTTTAAAAATCCATATTACATTAATTTCGCTAAAGGAAATCTTTCTTTCTCGTAAACACCATAAACTCTTTATTAATTTTTTATTTTAGCGGAGTTTACACAATTATTTTTATATTATTTTACACAAAAACTGTAAAATTTTACTCTTCTCCATGATAGAATATATTTATGTAATGAAAAAAATGCGTCAGTAATATTTATTTTTGGTTTTTTTAATCTTCTGTTTTTTTATAATAGCAATAGTATTACATTCCGAAATAAATGTTTTTTACGTAAACACATTTTGATAAAGCGTTCAACAATGAAAAATGGAGTAATTGTCAAAGCGGTAAAAATTATAATCACATTTTTAACCATTTTAAAGAGAGAGAGAGAAACATTTAATTACAATTATATTTATTCTTTCTTTCATATTTAATGTTTCAATTCAATAATTATATATATTTTTATTAATATAATGATATAATGATATAATATAAAGATATTAATTGAGTTGTTTTGACAAATTCCAACTGTTACATGTTTCTTACAGCAGCTGTTAAGCATCAAACATTTTTATCATATTACGTCAGAGACGACAAAATTATATGAAGTGTAATATTAATATTTTAACTTTTATTATAAACTCGGACAGAAGTTTATTGAAAATTAAATTTAGAGGTAGTGTTTCTTTTATAAAACATAATATATTTTATTTAGAGATAAATAAAAAAGGTCACATTATAAAAAGTTTTACACTATGTATGCCAAATAAAATGAAAATGTATGATAATTATTTTAATTGTTAGAAACTTACAATTTAAAGTATAAAAATATTTTTATACGTCTTTTATAGTTTATATTTCTTTATAACTACGTTTACATAAGCGATCTAAAACTAATATTATCTACAAGTTATCTAGATGAACCATCATATAATTGTTATCTTTTATCCATATATATTTTAAACAAAATTTTTTTTACACATCTTATCTAAGTTAATATTTTATCTCATTTTTATTTAGCTAATTTTATAAAATCATCTAAGCACAATATAGATTATATATGTTAAATAAAATAAAAATACATGTGTGATACTTACACCTAATAATTTGATTTGCCTGTAAGGCGGTAAAATTCAATTTGTTACTGATAGAGGTCATCAAAATAATATCTTGTTCGTCATCAGGTAATGTTATGCGCTCATTAATTAATCCTTCTACCAGTCTGTTTAATAATTCATTAACATGTCTTATTTGGTCCTTACAATTCCGGTATTGTTTCGAGTTGTTCATTGGATTGTCAAAGAAATAAGATATTGTGTTTTCGAGTTTAGGTAGAAATTTTTTTTGGTTAAGGTCCATCCAACATCTAATGTCATAATTGCAATTCTGGGAATAGGGTATCCATTCTTGCTGAAACCGAATATATAGAATTAATGTTTGTAACATATTCACTTTTTCTACATAATAGACAACAATTATTAATAAATCGCTTTATTCAAATTTTATTTTTTGTTTGCAATTATTGTATTTATATGTTAGTATATATATTTTTACAGTATATTTTAGTATATATTTAACATGAAAAAAGCCAAAATTATAAATTTTTCGGATAAGAAAAATTTCTAAAATTGAAGAAGCTATTGTTACAAAAATTGGTCACTGACAACTTTAAATTGTGACAAGGCGTTGAATTTTAATTTCGCTAAAACATTTTCTGTCAATGCAATAATACTTTTAATAATCATTCAGATTGACGGTGTTTACATAATATATTTTATATGGCGGAATATATCATACAATGCAAAAATGCAAGAATATTTACTCTTCTGTTTCGTCTATAAGAATAATAGTTAATAAAATCTGTTTTGCTGATGTTTATTGGTCCTAAACAAAGCATCTCTTTTAGGCGCTCCGAAATTTCACCTTTAATCAGGAAAAATGTCAGAAAAAGTGCATCATATAGGCAAGCCGGACTGAACACAAAACTTTTATTCTGATTGGCACCCATAACTTTATGCAGACACTTCATCGCAAAACGGAAACGTCCCTGCTTTATAGTTTCTTCTAGTGAATAGAATAGTTACAGAATAAATAATAAACTTAAGAAAAAAAATTAATATTAAGTATAGCTATAGTAATTTAATTATAATAATTTGCAATAAAAAATATAAATAAATATCTTAAATTAACAATTTAAAATTCTTATTTATATTATTTATTGTAATTTACTATAATTAAATATTTTTAATTAAACATATGTTAAAATTAAAAGCGTAATGTACCGATACATTTTTAATAATTATTTTAAACGCGTAAAATAAAATTTTATTATAACTCACGCTTAACTTTAAAATCACAAAACAACAAAATCAATAATGTATATGTGAAGACACTCGGGACTATAAAAAATTAGTAAAGTAACTAATACACTGTTATCAATGTTTAACAACAGTGCTACGTTTGAACGTCGGTCAACATGACAAATAGAGAACCGGCAATTATATTTTAAAAAATTGTTATTATACAAAACTTAAGTCGAGATCGACGAATTTTATTGTTCAAAAAACTTTAATATTTAACTATAATATTTAAAGACACAAAATATAAAAGTTTTATTCTGCAATAATTATATCTAAAATTCTAATGCTTTTATTGCGTTTATATGTTTATATATTTAAAACGTTGTTCTATTATTTTAATAATAATTGATACAATTTTAGAAAGAAATTACGTTAATCTATCCAAGATCTGTCATTAGCTATTAAATTACATAGAAATAAATTCATTGGGCAACAATACATAATATAAAAATAAAAGCATAAACATTTTTATATTACTTCATATTTTAAATTATTATTATTTTGATAAATAAACACAATAATTACTAAATTTTATACAATATTATTTAAACTTACCAACTTCTTTTGACCTCTCATCACTCATCTCATTTTCCTCTCGGTCCATCCTGTTTTTGTTATAAAATAGCAATTGTCAAAAACAAAAGAATGTGCTACAAAGTTAGCAAATTCTAATTAACAGTCTTGATAGCAATATAATTTAGCAATTGCAGTCTCGCTCGCGTATTGTTAATTAGCGTTGATACAAAATATAAGTTGCGCGACAATAATTCAGGCGAATGTGAGATTATTTTAATGTATTTTTTTTCTTGCTCGTGATTCTTTTGTATAGTGTCAAATCAGGAAGTTTTCTTGCTCGGTTCTTCGTAGACTGAAGATAACTGTTCTAGCAGAATCATAATATAAACTCACGAAAACAAACACACCTGTACGGATACACATAAAGAAGACATTGAAACATATCATTTATTATTGATATTTAATATTCAAAATTTATATATAATTATATAAATGCATGTCATCTTACATTTCGTAATACATATATATATATTTGTAGCGTACGTCTAATATAAAAAAATTAAAAATTCATCGATTCTGTTAATGTTGAAAATATATCAAAATAATATATTTTATAAAAAAATTACATTATAATGCATAGAACTGTGCTATAATATAAAAAAGTTGAAATAAAATTAATGACATCGTATTGTTACACATATTTGAGAAAGGAAGGTTTAATTATCTTTCTTTCTATTAAGTTTTGTTAGAATAATTAATATTCTTATACAATATTATAAGCAATATTGAAATATATACACAATACATAAGTATTGTTAAATGCATATTTTTAAATTTCGAAATAAACAAGTTTTTTTTTATAAATTTGTTTTAACATAGAATACGAATAAATTGATTTAATGAATATAATTATATGTATCTTTCGGGACGTATTTTTAGTAATTTACCGAAATATACATTTTGTCACAAATAATAATAACAATACTTTCTAATGTAAGTCATGCTTTATCTTCTTATCAGTAAATTAGTAAGGCGAAAAAGTATAATACTCTAAATCTCAAATTATAAAATAGGTTAATTATAATTATGTAACATCTATTTTATGTATATACATATATACATATATATTTATGTATATATATATATATATATATATATATATAATGCTATGCGATTGCGTAAGATACTTGATATAATTTAGAAAAAAGGTTAGTCAATCTAATCGCAATAAGATCTGCCAAGTAAATAGCTATTAAATTTTATAGAAATGTAAATTTTTAATACAACAATTTATAACATAATGAATAAAAGAAAAAACATTTTAATGTTATTTTTTATTTTTAATTATTACCTTTTCAATAAATCGACTCTATAATTTCATAATTTTACAATAATTTTTAAACTTACCAACTTCTTTTGACTTCTCGTCTCATCTTGTTTTTCTATCCTATTTTAGTTATAAAATAGTAACTATCAAAGAGTAATCTTGATAACTTCAAATCTGTATAATTCAAAAAGTACTTAATGAAAAAATGTTTTATTATAGTGTTTTGGAAAGCTCTCGAGATAAACTATAACAATATGCAATAAAAAATAGGAGGCAAAATGCATTCTAACTGAAGATATCAGGGGGGTCCGATACTTTTCGATGACCCTGTATGTATATACACACATATTTAGCGCACGTCTAATATCAGAAAGTAAAAATTTATCAAATCTATTAATGATGGACAATAAAAATATATCTAAATAACATATTTTATAAAAAAAGGTAAATTATAATGTATAATACTATACTACTTATAACAAAATTGAAATATTATAGATTTAATGACATTGCATTGTTACACATATTTGAGAAAGAAAGATTTAATTATCTGTTTTTTAAACAAACAACTTTATAAAATACGAGCTTTCTGGTTTTTATTTTTAGAATATTATAAATTTATTGCATGCATACATTAATTTCAACTAACCAAAGTATTATTTCATTAGCCTCCGAATTTTTAACAGAAGTTGTACATAGATTGCGCACAAATATAATACATGTCGATCCAAATAATTAAAATGTTGAATTGTATAGGAGCGAGTAAAAACGTTTACGATTACAAAACATTATGTAGTAACTACAGATCTGTTGCATCGATCGTTTCATAGTGTATATAACTGATTTGTGTAATTTTAAACTCAATCTTTATCAGGAATGACAAACTCGTTTTTATATCATAAGTCGCATGAACTATTTTGTAAACTAAAGGTCACATGTTTTAAATATTTAAAGAATTAACAAAATACTATTTTTTTAAACATCTACAGTTTTTTTTAAGTACTTAACTTTATTCGGACCGCGGCTTTTTCGCTTGCGGACTGTTTAATGGACTTGCCTGATCTATATTCATCGATATATTTTGACAATTGGTCTCGGCACTATTACAAGCGCCGATAAAGAGAATTTCTTGATGTTCTAAGTCATAGATCATCCAGACGAACGGATTATTACAACTTACGTCGATTATTTTGGAGTCCGATGGGGAGTTTTCTCCTTTGCTGTTAATCAAGGTCATCGCACCTACGATCACTTCACGCCTTGCGGCCTTGATGTGAGACCGATGCACGGCATTGCGGATTTGCACACTGCTCTTCCCTGATATAACATCCAGTTCGTACGTTAACAATTGTTCGACTTTAAGTGCTTCCAGAAGCTCGAGGATTGTCAGATTTTTCTCCACCTCGAAGGGCAAAAATTGCTGAGAGTTCGTAGAATTTTGTTTTCGTGATGCATCAAGGTCTCTTAACAGTTTGCGCAATTTGCTGATTCCATTCATGGTCGACAATTGTTTGGTGAAATTTAAAAAGTCAGAATGGCTGATGTTTTCAATGATCTTCCATACACCTGAGATTATCGACGCAGGTGAGAACATAAGCAGCGAAATGCTTTCATGCTGGTAGGGTACATCGGTCACGTGAATGCTCAATTCATGATTGAAATCTGAAAACAACGTTAAAAATGTAGAAAAATGTATCAAAATGGTCCAAATAGACGAATACAGAAATACATATTTGTTTTTTACGATTAGAACATCATACATTTTTGAAAATCCATAATTTTTTAATTTTGCTAAAGCAAATCTTCCTTTTTGATCAACACAATGAACTCTTTATTAATTCTTCAGTTCAACGGAGTTTACGTACATAATTATTGTTACGTGTTATTTTATACTCCAATTACAAATTTTGACTTTTTTCCGTGATAGAATATATTATCTAATGCAAAAATGCGGCAGGAATATTTATGCTTCTGTTTTTTTTATAATAAAATAACAATAGCTTTTTATTCCGAATAAAATGTTTTATTACGTGAACTTATTTTGATCGAGCGTTCGATTATTAAAAATGGAATAATTATAAACACAGTAAAAATCAGAATTATATCTTTAACAATTTTGAAGAAACATTCAATTACAATTTTATTTATTCTAAAATATTATGCTTTGTTCATATTTAATGTTTTAAACTCAATAATCAGAAACTTTTTTCATTAATATAGAAGTATCCGGATACCAATTGAGTGTTTTTGACAAATTCCACTGTTATAAATTTTTATCATTATATGTACAATTTGTTTAAGACAACGAAATGTTTAAAAAAATATTTCTAATATTTTACTTTTATTATGTACAGGACAGAAGTTTATTGAAAACATATAACATTTAGAGGTGTTGTTTTTTTTAGTATAAACATGATATATTTTATTTAGAATTAATAGAAAAGATTATATTATAAAAAGATTTATATTATGTATGTTAAATAAAATGAAAATGTGTGATATTAATTTTAATTGTAAGAAACTTGCAATGAAAAATACAAAAATATTTATATATCTTTTTTATAAATTACATTGTTTTATAACTACGTTTACATAAGCGGTCTGAAACTAATATTATCTACAAATAATCTAGATGATACGTCGTACAATTTTTATCTTTTATCTATAGTTATATTTTAAACAAAATTATTTTTACACACACATCTTATATAGGTTAAATTTTTATTTCATCTTTATCTAGTTAATTTTATAAAATAAATTTTATAAATTTTATAAAATTATCTAAGCACAATATTGATTATGTATGTTAAATAAAATAAAAATATGTGTGATACTCACAGCTTATAACTCGATAATCCCTCTGTGGTACAATAGTATTACTGGCCGACAAATTTTGGAATTTGTGAGAGATAGAGGTCATCAGAATAATATCTTGTTCGTCATCAGGTAATCTCACGGGCTCACTAATGAATCCATCTACCGATTTCTTTAATAATCGATTAACGTTACCTATTTTTGTCTGCTTACAAGTTTTGCATATTTCTAGGCTGATGATTGGCTCCTCAAATAAATAAGATATTGTCTTAGCTATTTTAGGTGGAAAATCCTCTATATTATGGTTAATCCAACATCTAATGTCATTGATGCAAGTCTCGGAATTGAGCATCCATATTTCCTGAAACCAAAAGTATTAAATTAATGTTCGTAAAGATATTTTTTTTCTAAGCAACAGACTAATTATTTATAAATTGCTTTATTTAAGTTTTTATTCTTTGTATGCAAGCATTGTATTTTTATGTTAATATGTATATTCTTAAAATTCGTAAACGTTACTTCATTTCAATTAATCAACATAAAAAGCCAAAATTATAATGATCTTTTGGATTAGAAATATTTCTAAAATTTATTAAAGAATTCATCATTAGAAAAACTTCTTATTGACCAATTAAATTGTAGCGTTGAATTTTAATTTCGCTAAAGAAAACTTTTTTCACCAGTATGATTAACTCTTTATTAATTTTTTATGTTGACGCCGTTTACATAATTATTTATACATATTATTTTATACACCAACTGCATATTTTGACTCTTTCCTATAATAGAATATATTCTCTAATGCAAAAATGCGTCAAGAATATTTACCCCTTTGCTTTTTTTGTAAGAACAATAGTTCATAAAATCTGTTTTGCTGAAAATCCCTAAACAAAGAATCAATTTTAAGCGCTCCTCAATTGCACCTTTAATCAGAAAATGTGTCAGAAAAAGTGCATTATATATGCAAGGCGGACTGAAAATCAAATTTCTATTTGGATTGACTTCCATAACTTTATGCAGACATTTCATCGCAAAACGGAAACGTCCCTGCTTTATTGTTTTTTCTAGTGAATAAAATAGTTAAATAAGTAAAACATAAAAATGAGAAAAAAACGAATATCTTTAATAAATCTTTTTAATAAATGAGCATTTTAATTACATAATTTTATACAATAATCTTTAAACTTACCAATTTCCCTTGCCGATTTGGTATTCATATTGCTTGTATTTTCTTTAGTTATAAAATAGCAGAAACAGCGTCAAAGGTATGTACTACAAAGTTCGTAAAGTTTATGTAATAGCTATGAATAACAATATATTATTTAGTAATTGCAGTCTCGCTCTCGTTCTGTTAATTAGCGTTGCTATGGAATGTAGCTTCTGTAGCTGTTGTAGGATGGTAATTAAGACGAATGTAGAATTATTTTGTACTTTTTGTATACTTTCTTGCCTAAAACTGTTTTGTAATTTTCAAATCTGAAATTCACTCTTGCTCAATTTTTCGTATACTGAAGATAATAACTGTTCTGCAGAATCATAATATATACACACAGATATAAGACGTATTCATACACATAAATCTATATGTAAACTAAATACAAAAATATAATATTACATTCTAATATCAAAAATTCTAAATTTATGTGTAATTTTATAAATCTTACATCACTTTTTGTGACACAATTGTGAAAATATGTATAAAGTAGTAGATAAATACACATACAATATACAATACCCGCAATATATGAGAAACTACTTTATAATTAAACCAATATATGTATGTATGTAACCAATATGCGTATATAATTTCATACAATAATCTTTAAATTTAACAATTTATTTTGTCTTAACGTCACTCATCTCGTTTTCCATCCTGTTTAAATTATAAAATAGCAATAGCAGAGACAAAGTATGTGCTACAAAGTTCGCAAATGCTAATTAGCAGCTTTGATTCTAATATTATTTAATAATTGCCGTCTCGCTCGCTTATTGTTAATTAACGTTGCTATATTGCTTATAATTTTTACAATGATAATTGAGACACATGTGAGATTATTGTATCATTTTTATGTATCTTCTATCACTTGAGATTCTTTGAGATAGTTTTGAAATCCTTTCTTGTTCTATTCTTCGTAGACTGAAAATAACTGGTTCATTAAAATCATAAAATGTATACACACAAACGCAAACACTCTCTTATACAGATACATATAAAAGAAAAACGTCAACACAAATCATTTATTATTAATGTCTAATATTCAAAATTTATTTATAATTATATAAATATGTCATCTTACATTTCGTAATACGATTATAAAATACATTATAAAAATATAGTGTAATAAGAAAAAACACACATACAGTATATATATATATATATATATATATATATATATATATATATATATATATATTGAATTAAATGAAAAAATTATGTAATTATATCCTTATGTGCATTACTGTCTTAATTGTGCATTTTTTTATTTAATTCAATATTTTTTTACTCAATTTTTTAACAATTACATTAATGTTTGAACTTTTATCAGTTTGATTTCTCATATTAAAATCAAATTGATTAGCATAATTACACTTTTAATATATTTCATGCGTCACTTTTTGTAAACTACATATAATATTTAAAACTAATATTTACATACAAAATTATATATAGAACATTACGTAAAGAAATATTTATGTTATATGTATAATTATGTATAGGAAAGTCAATCAGCAATATATGAAATTATATACAAAGTAATAAAATGATATATATATATAAATAATTATATATACAATTATATATATATACGTAATTTTATATACTTTTTATATAATTATACATTATGACAAATAATTACATACAAAAAAATTATTATCAGAATACACAATAAGTATAAATATAAACAAAATATTTATACATATGTATAAATATATTAATATACTTATATATATGGATATGTATGTACATATATGTATCCTTATATAATTTTAGTGTTTTTTTAAATATACATATTGTTACTAAATAATATCAATGCTTACTAATGTAAGTTATACTTCATCGCCTTATAATGAGTAAGTTAAAAAGACAAAACCATTTTGCTCGGCACTATTACAAGTGCCGACATAGAGGATTTCTTCTTGTAGTGTGTCATAGATCAGCCAGAGAAAAAATTCATTGCAATTTACGCTGACTACTTCGGTGTTTGCAAAGGAGTCTTCATTCCTGTGCATCAAGATCATCGAGACCACATTGCTTCCATTTTTTGACATATCTACAATTTCAAATTTGGGTTTATCGATAGAATTTCAAGAAGACTCGTCGATCCGCCGCTTTTTGCTTGACGAGCAGCCTGATGTACTCGGCATATCCGCCGATACAGGTTTAGTAACACGCTCGGTATTATTACAACTGCCAACATAGAAAACGTCTAAATTTGTGTTAGCGATCATCCAGATGACTGGATTATTGCAATTTATGTCGACAATATTGGAGTTCGAAGGAGGGTCTTCTCCTTTGCTGCTAATCAATGTTGTCGCATGCACGACCACTTCTTCATTTATAGCCTTAATGTGAGAACGATGCACGGCATTGCGAATTTGCACACGGGGGTTATTCCCAAATATAGTATCCAGTTCGATCATTTCGGACGTTAATAATGGTATATTTAATGTTTCGAGAAGCTCACGGATTGTCAGATCTTTCTCCAACTCAAAAGGCAAAGCATGCATAGAATTTGTATTAGTTATTACCCAACCTTGTACGTTAGATTTTAACACATTGCGCAGTTCTCTGACTCCTTGCATGGTCGACAATCTTTGGGTGAAATTTGAAAGGTCAGCGTGACTGATGTTCTGAGTGATCCTCCAACCTGAAAATAAGTTTGTTAAATTAACAAATATTTAGTTCAAATGGATCATTTATTTAAAACAAATAAATATTGATTTGTTTTGAAAAGAATTTTTATATCAAATAAATATTTAATTGTTTCAAATAAATGATATATTTAGATGTATTGAATTAAATATTTGTTAATTTAACAAACCTGTTTTATTATTGCTTATTTTGGTTAACGAAGCAGGTGCGAAGATATATAGCGACATATTTGAATTTCTGTCAAATAATTCGGTCACGTGAATGTCCAATGGTGGATAAAAATCTAAGAACAATATTAAAAATGTAGATAACTGTATAAATATAGTCCTGATATAGAAATCCCGAAATACATTTGTTCTTTACGATTAGAACATTATACATTTTTAAAAATCCATATTACATTAATTTCGCTAAAGGAAACCTTTCTTTCTCGTAAACATCATAAACTTTTTATTAATCTTTTATTTTAGCAAAGTTTACACAATTATTTCTATGTTATTTTACACAAAAACTGTAAATTTTTACTCTTGTCAATGATAGAATACATTATATGTAATGAGAAAAATGCGTTAGTAATATTTATCTGTCTGTTATTTTATAATAGCAATAATATTACATTCCGAAATAAATGTTTTTTACGTAAACACATTTTGATAAAGCGTTCAACAATAAAAAATAGAGTAATTGTCAAAGCGGTAAAAATTAAAATTACATTTTTAACAATTTTAAAGAGAGAGAGAGAGAAAGAAACATTTGATTACAATTATATTTATTCTTTTTTTCATATTTAATGTTTCAATTCAATAATTATTTACATTTTCATTAATATAATGATATAATATAAAGATATTAATTGAGTTTTTTTGACAAATTCCAACTGTTACATATTTTTTACAGCAATTGTTAAGCATCAAACATCTTTATCATATTACGTCAGAGACGACAAAATTTTACAAAGTATAATATTAATATTTTAACTTTTATTATAAACTCGGACAGAGAGAAGTTTATTGAAAATTAAATGTAGAGGTAGTGTTTCTTTTAAAAACATAATATATTTTATTTAGAGATAAAAAAAAAGGTTACATTATAAAAATTTTACACTATGTATGCCAAATAAAATGAAAATGTATGATAATTATTTTAATTGTTAGAAACTTACAATTTAAAGTATAAAAATATTTTTATACGTCTTTTATAGTTTATATTTCTTTATAACTACGTTTACATAAGCGATCTAAAACTAATATTATCTACAAGTTATCTAGATGAACCATCATATAATTGTTATCTTTTATCCATATATATTTTAAACAAAATTTTTTTTACACATCTTATCTAAGTTAATATTTTATCTCATTTTTATTTAGCTAATTTTATAAAATCATCTAAGCACAATATAGATTATATATGTTAAATAAAATAAAAATACATGTGTGATACTTACACCTAATACTTTGATTTGCCTTTAAGGCGGCAAAATTGAATTTGTTACTGATAGAGGTCATCAAAATAATATCTTGTTCGTCATCAGGTAATGTTATGCGCTCATTAATTAATCCTTCTACCGGTCTGTTTAATAATTCATTAACACGTTTTATTTGGTCCTTACAATTCCGGTATTGTTTCGAGTTGTTCATTGGATTGTCAAAGAAATAAGATATTGTGTTTTCGAGTTTAGGTAGAAATTTTTTTTGGTTAAGGTCAATCCAACATCTAACGTCATAATTGCAATTCTGGGAATAGGGTATCCATTCTTGCTGAAACCGAATATATAGAATTAATGTTTGTAACATATTCACTTTTTCTACATAATAGACAACAATTATTAATAAATCGCTTCATTCAAATTTTATTTTTTGTTTGCAATTATTGTATTTATATGTTAGTATATATATTTTTACAGTATATTTTAGTATATATTTAACATGAAAAAAGCCAAAATTATAAATTTTTTGGATAAGAAAAATTTCTAAAATTGAAGAAGCTATTGTTACAAAAATTGGTCACTGACGACTATAAATTGTGACAAGGCGGTGAATTTTAATTTCGCTAAAACATTTTCTGTCAATGCAATAATACTTTTAATAATCATTCAGATTGACGGTGTTTACATAATATATTTTATATGGCGGAATATATCATACAATGCAAAAATGCAAGAATATTTACTCTTCTGTTTCGTCTATAAGAATAATAGTTAATAAAATCTGTTTTGCTGATGTTTATTGGTCCTAAACAAAGCATCTCTTTAAGGCGCTCCGAAATTTCACCTTTAATCAAGAAAAATGTCAGAAAAAGTGCATCATGTAGGCAAGCCGGACTGAACACAAAACTTTTATTCTGATTGGCACCCATAACTTTATGCAGACACTTCATCGCAAAACGGAAACGTCCCTGCTTTATTGTTTCTTCTAGTGAATAGAATAGTTACAGATATTAGTATAGCTAATAAGAAGTGCAATTTAATAAATAATAATCAATATTACATGTAATAATTAAAAGCGTAATGTACCGATACATTTTTAATAATTATTTTAAACGCGTAAAATAAAATTTTATTATAACTCACGCTTAACTTTAAAATCACAAAACAACAAAATCAATAATGTATATGTGAAGACACTCGGGACTATAAAAATTAGTAAAGTAACTAATACACTGTTATCAATGTTTAACAACAGTGCTACGTTTGAACGTCGGTCAACATGACAAATAGAGAACCGGCAATTATATTTTAAAAAATTGTTATTATACGAAACTTAAGTCGAGATCGACGAATTTTATTGTTCAAAAAACTTTAATATTTAACTATAATATTTAAAGACACAAAATATAAAAGTTTTATTCTGCAATAATTATATCTAAAATTCTAATGCTTTTATTGCGTTTATATGTTTATATATTTAAAACGTTGTTCTATTATTTTAATAATAATTGATACAATTTTAGAAAGAAATTACGTTAATCTATCCAAGATCTGTCATTAGCTATTAAATTACATAGAAATAAATTCATTGGGCAACAATACATAATATAAAAATAAAAGCATAAACATTTTTATATTACTTCATATTTTAAATTATTATTATTTTGATAAATAAACACAATAATTACTAAATTTTATACAATATTATTTAAACTTACCAACTTCTTTTGACCTCTCATCACTCATCTCATTTTCCTCTCGGTCCATCCTGTTTTTGTTATAAAATAGCAATTGTCAAAACAAAAGAATGTGCTACAAAGTTAGCAAATTCTAATTAACAGTCTTGATAGCAATATAATTTAGCAATTGCAGTCTCGCTCGCGTATTGTTAATTAGCGTTGATACAAAATATAAGTTGCGCGACAATAATTCAGGCGAATGTGAGATTATTTTAATGTATTTTTTCTTGCTCGTGATTCTTTTGTATAGTGTCAAATCAGGAAGTTTTCTTGCTCGGTTCTTCGTAGACTGAAGATAACTGTTCTAGCAGAATCATAATATAAACTCACGAAAACAAACACACCTGTACGGATACACATAAAGAAGACATTGAAACATATCATTTATTATTGATATTTAATATTCAAAATTTATATATAATTATATAAATGCATGTCATCTTACATTTCGTAATACATATATATATATTTGTAGCGTACGTCTAATATAAAAAAATTAAAAATTCATCGATTCTGTTAATGTTGAAAATATATCAAAATAATATATTTTATAAAAAAATTACATTATAATGCATAGAACTGTGCTATAATATAAAAAGTTGAAATAAAATTAATTACATCGTATTGTTACACATATTTGAGAAAGGAAGGTTTAATTATCTTTCTTTCTATTAAGTTTTGTTAGAATAATTAATATTCTTATACAATATTATAAGCAATATTGAAATATATACACAATACATAAGTATTGTTAAATGCATATTTTTAAATTTCGAAATAAACAAGTTTTTTTTTATAAATTTGTTTTAACATAGAATACGAATAAATTGATTTAATGAATATAATTATATGTATCTTTCGGGACGTATTTTTAGTAATTTACCGAAATATACATTTTGTCACAAATAATAATAACAATACTTTCTAATGTAAGTCATGCTTTATCTTCTTATCAGTGAATTAGTAAGGCGAAAAAGTATAATACTCTAAATCTCAAATTATAAAATAGGTTAATTATAATTATGTAACATCTATTTTATGTATATACATATATACATATATATTTATGTATATATATATATATATATATATATATAATGCTATGCGATTGCGTAAGATACTTGATATAATTTAGAAAAAGGTTAGTCAATCTAATCGCAATAAGATCTGCCAAGTAAATAACTATTAAATTTTATAGAAATGTAAATTTTTAATACAACAATTTATAACATAATGAATAAAAGAAGAAACATTTTAATGTTATTTTTTATTTTTAATTATTACCTTTTCAATAAATCGACTCTATAATTTCATAATTTTACAATAATTTTTAAACTTACCAACTTCTTTTGACTTCTCGTCTCATCTTGTTTTTCTATCCTATTTTAGTTATAAAATAGTAACTATCAAAGAGTAATCTTGATAACTTCAAATCTGTATAATTCAAAAAGTACTTAATGAAAAATGTTTTATTATAGTGTTTTGGAAAGCTCTCGAGATAAACTATAAGAATATGCAATAAAAAATAGGAGGCAAAATGCATTCTAACTGAAGATATGAGGGGGGTCCGATACTTTTCGATGACCCTGTATGTATATACACACATATTTAGCGTACGTCTAATATCAGAAAGTCAAAAATTCATCAAATCTATTAATGATGGACAATAAAAATATATCTAAATAACATATTTTATAAAAAAAGGTAAATTATAATGTATAATACTATACTACTTATAACAAAATTGAAATAAATTTAATGACATTGCATTGTTACACATATTTGAGAAAGAAAGATTTAATTATCTGTTTTTTAAACAAACAACTTTATAAAATACGAGCTTTCTGGTTTTTATTTTTAGAATATTATAAATTTATTGCATGCATACATTAAATTCAACTAACCAAAGTATTATTTCATTAGCCTCCGAATTTTTAACAGAAGTTGTACATAGATTGCGCACAAATATAATACATGTCGATCCAAATAATTAAAATGTGGAATTGTATAGGAGGAAGTAAAAACGTTCACAATTACAAAACATTATGTAGTAACTACAGATCTGTTGCATCGATCGTTTCATAGTGTATATAACTGATTTGTGTAATTTTAAACTCAATCTTTATCAGGAATGACAAACTCGTTTTTATATCATAAGTCGCATTAACTATTTTGCAAACTGAAGGTCGCATGTTTTAAATATTTAAAGAATTAACAAAATACTATTTTTCTAAACATCTACAGTTTTTTAAAGTTCTTAACTATATTCAGACCGCGGCTTCTTTGCTTGCGGACTGTTTAATGGACTTGCCTGATCTATATTCATCGATATATTTTGACAATTGGTCTCGGCACTATTACAAGCGCCGATAAAAAGAATTTCTTGATGTTTTAAGTCATAGATCATCCAGACGAACGGATTATTACAACTTACGTCGATTATTTTGAAGTCCGATGGGGAGTTTTCTCCTTTGCTGTTAATCAAGGTCATCGCACCTACGATCACTTCACGCCTTGCGGCCTTGATGTGAGACCGATGCACGGCATTGCGGATTTGCACACTGCTCTTCCCTGATATAACATCCAGTTCGTACGTTAACAATTGTTCGACTTTAAGTGCTTCCAGAAGCTCGAGGATTGTCAGATTTTTCTCCACCTCGAAGGGCAAAAATTGCTGAGAGTTCGTAGAATTTTGTTTTCGTGATGCATCAAGGTCTCTTAACAGTTTGCGCAATTTACTGATTCCATTCATGGTCGACAATTGTTTGGTGAAATTTAAAAAGTCAGAATGGCTGATGTTTTCAATGATCTTCCATACACCTGAGATTATCGACGCAGGTGAGAACATAAGCAGCGAAATGCTTTCATGCTGGTAGGGTACATCGGTCACGTGAATGCTCAATTCATGATTGAAATCTGAAAACAACGTTAAAAATGTAGAAAACTGTATCAAAATGGTCCAAATAGACGAATACAGAAATACATATTTGTTTTTTACGATTAGAACATCATACATTTTTGAAAATTCATAATTTTTTAATTTTGCTAAAGCAAATCTTCCTTTTTGACCAACACAATGAACTCTTTATTAATTCTTCAGTTCAACGGAGTTTACGTACATAATTATTGTTACATGTTATTTTATACTCCAATTACAAATTTTGACTTTTTTTCCCTGATAGAATATATTATCTAATGCAAAAATGCGGCAGGAATATTTATGCTTCTGTTTTTTTATAATAAAATAACAATAGCTTTTTATTCCGAATAAAATGTTTTATTACGTGAACTTATTTTGATCGAGCGTTTGATTATTAAAAATGTAATAATTATAAATACAGTAAAAATCAGAATTATATCTTTAACAATTTTGAAGAAACATTCATCAATTACAATTTTATTTATTCTATAATATTATGCTTTGTTCATATTTAATGTTTTAATCTCAATAATTAGTAACTTTTTCATTAATATAGAAGTATCCGGATACCAATTGAGTGTTTTTGACAAATTCCACTGTTATAAATTTTTATCATTATATGTACAATTTGTTTAAGACAACGAAATGTTTAAAAAAATATTTCTAATATTTTACCTTTATTATGTACAGGACAGAAGTTTATTGAAAACATATAACATTTAGAGGTGTTGTTTTTTTTAGTAAACATGATATATTTTATTTAGAATTAATAGAAAAGATTATATTATAAAAAGATTTATCTTATGTATGTTAAATAAAATGAAAATGTGTGATATTAATTTTAATTGTAAGAAACTTGCAATAAAAAATATAAAAATATTTATATATCTTTTTATAATTTACATTTTTTATAACTACGTTTACATAAGCGGTCTGAAACTAATATTATCTACAAATAATCTAGATGATATGTCGTACAATTTTTATTTTTTATCTATAGGTATATTTTAAACAAAATTATTTTTACACACACATCTTATATATAGGTTAAATTTTTATCTCATCTTTATCTAGTTAATTTTATAAAATAAATTTTATAAATTTTATAAAATTATCTAAGCACAATATTGATTATGTATGTTAAATAAAATAAAAATATGTGTGATACTCACAGCTTATAACTCGATAATCCCTCTGTTGTACAATAGTATTACTGGCCGACAAATTTTGGAATTTGTGAGAGATAGAGGTCATCAGAATAATATCTTGTTCGTCATCAGGTAATCTCACGGGCTCATTAATGAATCCATCTACCGATTTCTTTAATAATCGATTAATGTTATTTATTTTTGTCTGCTTACAAGTTTTGCATATTTCTAGGCTGATGATTGGCTCCTCAAATAAATAAGATATTGTCTTAGCTACTTTAGGTGGAAAATCCTCTAAATTATGGTTAATCCAACATCTAACGTCATTGATGCAATTCTCGGAATTGAGCATCCATATTTCCTGAAACCAAAAGAAATATTAAATTAATGTTTGTAGAGATATTTTTTTTCTAAGCAACAGACTAATTATTTATAAATTGCTTTATTTAAGTTTTAATTCTTTGTATGCAAGCATTGTATTTTTATGTTAATATGTATATTCTTAAAATTCGTAAACGTTACTTCATTTCAATTAATCAACATAAACAGCCAAAATTATAATAATGTTTCGAATTAGAAATATTTCTAAGATTTATTAAAGAATTCATCATTAGAAAAACTTCTTATTGACCAATTAAATTGTAGCGTTGAATTTTAATTTGCTAAGAAAACTTTTTTTACCAGTATAATTAACTCTTTATGTTGTTTACATTATTTATACATATTATTTTATACACCAACTGCATATTTTAACTTTTTCCTATAATAGAATATATTCTCTAATGCAAAAATGCGTCAAGAATATTTACCCCTTTGCTTTTTTTGTAAGAACAATAGTTCATAAAATCTGTTTTGCTGAAAATCCCTAAACAAAGAATCAATTTTAAGCGCTCCTCAATTGCACCTTTAATCAGAAAATGTGTCAGAAAAAGTGCATTATATATGCAAGGCGGACTGAAGACCAAATTTCTATTTGGATTGACTTCCATAACTTTATGCAGACATTTCATCGCAAAACGGAAACGTCCCTGCTTTATTGTTTTTTCTAGTGAATAAAAAAGTTAAATAAGTAAAACATAAAAATGAGAAAAAAACAAATATTAAGTGTATTAATTGCTAGTAATTTAATTAAAATAAATGACAATAATAAATATATAAATAACTCTCATAAATTAATAATTTTAGTAATAAACGTATGTTAAAATGAAAAGCATAATGTTCTGAAATTTATTTGACACTCATTTTAAACGTGTAAAATATTAAAATTTATTATAACGCATGTGTAATTTTAAGATCAAATTACAATAGAATCAATAATATACATATAAAAGGACACTCGAAATAGTAAAAAAAAAGAAATTTGCTAATATATCGTTATCAATATTTAACAACATGACTACGTTTAATAAGCATCGTTCAAAATATAACGGATTAATGAAACGATATTTCACTTACATTTGAAAAAAATAGAATTTATGCAAAACTTGAAATCGATGGATATATCGTATTGATGAAACTTGAAAGTCGTATTTAATGTGGAACATATTAGTTGCTTTCCATTTACATCAAAACTCAGATAAATCTTACTTCTTTCTTTCTTTAACATCTATGTTAAAGAAAGATAAAAGTGAGATTGATCTAAGTTTTTATTAATAAAAATTTACATTCCGTAATAATTTTATCTAAAAATCGAATATTCGTTGTTTCTGCCGTGAAATCTGACGAAATCATACGTGAAACTTAAACTTATTTTTCTTATATGTATATTTAAAATATTGTTCTATTATCTTAATTACGATTGATACAGATTTAGAAAGAAATTACGCTAATTTATCTAAGATTTGCCAAAACGTAGCTAAATTACAATTAAAGATATAACTTCTTGAGACAACAATATATAAGATAATAAATAAAAGAATAAACATTTTTGTAGCAAAATATATTTTAGATTATTATGTTTTCGATAAATTGACCGAATAATTGCACAATTTTATACAATCTTTAAACTTACCAATATCTTTTGCCGCATTATCACTCATTACGTTTTCCATCCTTTTTTTAGTTATAAAATAGGAAAAGTAGGAACAACGATATGTAGGACAAAGTTTGTAAATGTAATTTAACAGCTTTGTTCACAATATTATTTAGCAATTTCAATCTCACTCGCGTATTGTTAATCGTTGATTTATAGGATATAATTTTCCGTTGATAACTAAAGCGAATGTGAGATTATTTTATTTTCTATATGTATCTTCGCTCTCGCTTAAGATTCTTTTATATAGTTTCCAAGTCGCAGTGGAAACCTTCTCGTTCGAGTCTTCGGAAATAACTGAAGATAACTCTCCGATTCTGTTATCTCTCTGAATCATAACAGATACATACAAATACATACACACTCACAGGTACACATACATACGTATCACATCAAAACATATCATTTATAATATTTAACGTCAAAAATTAAAAATTTATTTCTAATTATATTAACATACGTTATTGCGCATTTCGTGATAAAGTTAGGTAACTATAAAAAAATAGATAGATTCATATACATATCAGAATTGGGAAAGTTACTTTGTAAAAATAACTAGTTACTAGTTACTAAAAAATGTAATTAAGTTACAGTTACAGTTACAGATGGAGAAAAGTAACAAAGTTAAGTTACAGTTATCGAAAAAAAAGTAACTGTAACTGTAACTTCGTTACAAGCAACTCGTTACTTCCCAATCCTGATACATATATATAATCGCATGTCAGTGATTTGTGCAGATTTTTTGTATGAATATATCGTAAAATGTTTAAATTTTAGACGTTCTTATATAATCATATATCGAGACCCTATAATAAGAGTCTTGCCATATGATATCTAGTTTTGATTGGTCCCCTTAAATCTGGACAATTCCCGCTCTTATTTGAATCACATTAATCTCACTATTAGCATAAACATAATATTTTAGTATATAACATAAATAAAAAATGAATGTTTTTATAATGTTAAATTTCATCATCTATCTCATGCAAATTTATCTAATACAATTTTAAAATTATACTTATAAAATAGACATCTATATATATATGTATATATATATTTTTTTTTTATTAATTATATTTTATATATATATATATATATATATATTTTTTTTTTTATTAACTATATTTTTATATATATATATATATAAAATATAGTTAATAAAATATATATATACGTGTCGACGTGCAAACAAATTGTCCGTTCGTCTGGCTGATTTATGATAAACTGCATCAAAACATCCTCTTTATCGGCGTCTTCTATGCATTCTGAAACGAATAGATATACATATAATTAGATTTTGAAGTATACGGATAGTCTTATAATTACAATCAACATGAAACAGAAATTTAGAGACTCATAAATCAGTGTTTCTTGTCGTAAAAATTTATGTTCGTTTGTTGTATAAAAATATTTCTTGTGCTATAGTAATATAATACAAAAAAAATATATATATATATATATATATATATATAAAATATAGTTAATAAAATATATTTTTTAAATAATTGAATTATTATTGATGTAAATTATATATAAAAACTTGTGAATCAAAGGAATACTCACAGCTTTTATTCTTCCACTTGTCAGAAATAATCGATTCTCTTGATGAGTCAGGTTGACATTGTTGACTGCTCGATAAAATTTGAAATCTTTGTTCAGTGAAAAGGACGGTCAGCAAAACAATCTTCATTCCTTTTTGATTAATTTTAATTTCGGCGAAACACAAAAGTAATTTGTTGTCTGACGTTGTATTTCTTCATTAATTCGATTTATAATCTTCTTAGTTCTGTATAACTGCACAAATCCATTGTTGAATATTTGTTTTATTTTTGAGGTATTTACAGACAATTGAATTTTTTTAATAAAACACATACGTAAATTCTCGTACTCGCAATTAGTCATAGATGTGGATGTAATTTCCTACAACCAAAAACATCAAATGTAAGATCTTTATTCGTTCGTATAAAACAAAAGACTTATCTATGTCATTTCTCTAAACTGTTTTATTTACAAAATAAACGGAACTTAAGTTACTTTATTTAAATTAATGTATATAAAGAAGAGTCAAAATTAGGCAGTGCGATAACCAAGTTTTCTGGATTTTATTATAAAATCGTTCGAATAAAAATTTTAACGATTGTTTTCACAATGAGTGACACATTTAAGATGTATCAAAAGTTTCGAATTTTTGCTTTGTTTAAATATAAATTTTTGTCCATAATGGCTTAATAAATTTTTCAAAGTTGCAATATATTTGTTTAACAAATAACTTTAAATATTATTTTATACAATGTGGCATGCAAATTTTGACTTTCTTTATAACATTATTTCTGACATCATTTATTTGAATATCCATTTAATGCAAATATGCGTCAAAATTATTTACCTCTTCATTATTCAGCTCATTATCGGTGGATGTTGATTCGCAGTATTTTGAATTATCAAAATTAATATTATTTATTAAGTCATCTTTTGAGACTTTCGTTAAATAAAAGATTTCTTTCAGATATTCTTCAATTTTATAACTAGAGATAAGGTAAACCGACAGAAGTCCCTCATATATGTTGTACGGACTGAATGTAAAATCTTCATTTGACTTGATATATTTATGAAGATTTGTAATCGCGAATTTAAAAAGCGCCTCCACTTTTACTAGCAAACAGAAAAAAAAATATCAAAGAATCATGTAATATTAACGAAAAAGATTTGTATTAAGAGAATAGAAAGTCTGTGAATAAATTATAATTAAAGTTAATAAAGTAAATGACAGAGTAAATCTAATATATTGAAATATTTTTGACACTTAATTTGCATGTGTATAGAAAAATATTTATTATATCTGAAAAATTAGTTTTAACTTGAAATATAATAAAATCAACGTATAATAATAATCGAAATAGAAACAGAAAAAGAGTTTCCAATATATATTTTTAATTATGTTCACTATTATGTTGATTTTATTTCCAGCAAAATAAACGCAAATTCGAGATTATTTGATTATTATTATTAATAAAATTTAATACCAATATTTAACAATTACGCTGCAAAAATCGTATTTTAAAATTGAATTTATTTTATATACGATGTATATCTAATATGCGAAACAATTCCCTAAAATATAATTAATACAAGCAGACTTTAAAATAATGTATTTTATTTAAATTTAATAAATTATGTAGCTCGCTATACAATGTTTACTAAATTATATTGAAATATATATAAAATTACCAAAAAACAGTATGTTGAAAAATTAATATAGCACAAAAAAATATTAGCGCTGCATATGTTAATTATCTGTTTGTAAAATCGGAGTGAAAATTGTTTGATGTATTTAGTAAAAAGATCTTTTCTCACCATTTCTCTCGATTTCCTGTTTGATCTCCATTTTAGGCTATATACAGTAGCAAAATTGTAACAAACATTTTTTGTCTGTTTGTGTCTCGATATAATTGATTCTGTTGTGTCCCGATATTATGTCACCACTGCTTTAATATATTTATATTTATATTATGTAGCGCATGCGTATATATAGTTGCTCAATATAAATTTTGCATGAGAATTTGATTTGAATTTGACCTCAATATTTCTATATTTTCATTGTCTAAGATTTGTCATGTACAATTCTAAGGATGCATTTTTGCGATCTCGCAATCTAATATAAATATTTTAATAGAATAAATTCTTGGCTCGTTTGCGTAAAAAAGAAGAAATTTCGATAAAAAAAGTTTCTCAATTTTATTAAACGATCTATCATTAAACCTGTTCTTTGATAAAAAAATGTGTGAAAACTATGTATTTTACTCCGCTAAAAAAAAATTAATATATCTTTTTTTGTCATCGCTATTATATTTTTATGAATTTATCTTATTGTCAACATTTTTATGATAATGTTGTCATTTATGTTGCCTGACATGCAAATATTAACTTATCTAAAATTCTGACATTTTCCTATTTACATTCTCTCACTAACTTAGAAATAATATATATACAACATTATTAAACGAATTACAAAAGGGACTCTAGGGAATGGTTGTTGAATTACACGAAAAGAAACAGACAGATTTACAATAAAAACAATTAAAAATAATATAGATCAAAAATATTTGCTTTGTATATTTATCTGTTTGAAAAATTGATATAAAAATTGTGCAATTTCATAAAAGATTTTTCGTATTGGATATTTTTAAATAATGTCATATCGGCACAAAATATATTTTTCATGTCGCCAAAATTTGTCAATACTACATTGTTTTTAATATATTATTATTTTCTTAAAAAGTTACTTATTGTTAGTTCACATTAAGTCGGACAAATCTCGGGCTGTACTACTCATAAATATATTTTTGTCGGCCTATTGCTTATTTTTAAATAATGTCGTTAAATCTCTAAATACTACATCGTTTTTGGTAGATAATTACTTTCGTGAAAATTAGCATAAAGTATTACGTCGGACTAATTTCGGGTTGTACTACTCAGGAATATATATTTTGTCGGCGTATAGCATATTTTTACATAATGTCCTCATATCTTTCAAAATTACATTGTTTTTTGTAGGTAACTACTTTCTTGAAAATTAGCTTACAATTAGTCCATTAAGTCGGATTAATCTCAGTTTATACTACTAACAAATTTATTTTTGTCGGCGTGTAGTACATTTTTAAATAATGTCATATCGGCATGGAGTATATTTTTAAATAATGTCATTAAAATATACTATTACTACATTGTTCTTAATAGAATTTTCGTAAAAATTAAAATATTGTTAGTCCACATTAGATCGAACGAATCTCGGGTTATACTACTCACGAATATATTTGTGCCAGCGTATAGCATATTTTTACATAATGTCGTCAAATCTGTTAATACTACTTTGTTTTTGGTAAATATACTTTGTGAAAATTAGCTTATTGTTAGTCCATTAAGTCGGATTAATCTCAGGTTATACTACTCACAAATATATATTTTTCACCGTATTGTACATTCTTAAATTATGTCATATTGGCATAAAAATATTTTTAAATAATGTCAAATTTTCTTAATACTACATTGTTTTGTAGATAACTGCTTTCGTAAAAAATAGTTAAATCCACAAAGTCGGACTAATTTCCGATTATACTACTCTCGAATATATTTTTATTTGCGTATAGCATATTTTTAAATAATGTCATAACGGCATAAAATATATTTTTTACATCAAAACATTTAATTTTAAATTCAAATATTTTTTGTTTATTTGTAATTGTATAATCCTCTATAGAATCCGATATAAATAATTTAATGACATAATTTTATGACAGGAATATTAAACATATATACATGCATAAATACATATATATACATATATATATGCGTACACATATACATATGTATGTATATATACATGTATATATATTTTCTGATTTACCAAAATTTAACATTTACATATTATCAGATAATCACGACTCTTTCTAATATCATATGTCCTTCGAAATAAAACTACAAGTAATTGTAAAAGAATGATATTTTCAAAAATAAAATAAAATGCAAAAATAAATTAATGACTATTCTCAACTAAAAAACTTATATTTCCGAAATATTTTAAGCGATACGATGTTTTCTTTTTCTCTTAATCTTCCGAAGATTCATAAATATAACTTAATTTAATATCAAGCGAATGTAAATTTTTATGCCACTAAAGATTGGTTTATGTCACCGATCTCCGAAATCTTAACAGAATTTGATTCTAAATTCTTTTCTATTTTATCGATAAATCATCATTTCTGTGCACCTTTTCTTTTTATTTGTTGGATAGAATAATAAATGCTTCTTCACGACTACAGTACATATAGAAATAATACGCGAACCGACCAATTTTATATTGTATTATATTTTATTTTACATTATGTTAATAATAAAATAAAACTTTAAATTTTTAATTAAATAAAACATTTTGAATATAAAATCACGCAGTAGGTTCGCGCTTTGTTTTCTATATATGTGCTTTAATTATAGAAAAGCATTTATTATTCTAATTAACCAATAAAAAGAAACCAATGTTTTATCAATAAAACGGTGTTTAGAATCCTCTTAACTCAAATCGACAAAAAATTGACTCAAAAGAAATTATAGCTTCAACAATTGCAGCATTTTGTAGTAACTACAAATCTGTTATTAGTATTCGTTTCATAGTATTGTATGTCCGATTCGTATACCTACGAATTTAATATATATTCGTTCGTCTCAGCTAAAAGAAAAAAAAACAGCCTAGTCGAATTCATTGCAAACGCCGATAAAGAGGATGTTTCGATGCTGTTTGTCATAAATCAGCCAGATAAACGGATATTTGGATTGCACGTCGACTACTACACTCGAGTTCGGAAGGGAGCTTTGTCCGGTGATCAAAGTCATCGCGCCCGCGACGGTGGCCTCTTTTGTGACCTTGACATGAGTACGGTGCACGACGTTGCCGAAGTGCACCTTGTGTCCGTCTTTTGCGAAGGAACTGTCCAGATCGACGGCGTCGGACGTCAATAATTGTTGGCAGCCTATCGCTCGCATCAGCCGGCGTGCATTGAAATTTTTCTCCAATTCGAAGACCGGCCAATATGAAAAATTGTTAACCCTACCTAATGAAGTCTGATGATCCAACACCTTGCGCAATTCGAGCATTCCTTCTTTGGTCGACAATAAAATGATCATATCGGAAATGGCAACGTGGTTAGGGAACACTTTCCACTTGTTGTCTGTGTCGAAGAAACAGGGTGCCAACACGAACAGCGATGTATTTCCATTCTTGTAGGGAAACTCGCCTATCAGCATGTGTAATTTTTTATGGAAACCTGGAAAAGAAAAATCATTGGAAATGTAGAGGACAAAGAAAACTGTAATTATTTAATTTTCTTGGTTTTTATGTACATATATAGTCAAGATTTGTTATTATGGATACTTTAATTCTAGTAAAGAAATTTTCGTTCCGTATATAATCAAAAAATAGTTAACTGAAAATAATATTTATCGATAAAACAGATATAGCATCTCCTAATACTTATATATTTAATACCTACTATATTATATAATTAATATTATATATTAAATATTATATTTAATATTTGATATTATATATATTATATAATTAATATTTAATATTTATATATTTAATATTTAATATTATGAATTTAATGTTATATTTAATATTCAATATAGCTTTCGAAACCAGTTTATTGCCAGCAGAGATAAAGAGATAAAATGGTGTGCTTGAAATAATATGTTGACAGAATTTTTCTACTTAATTAATTATAAAAATCTAACTATAAATAGATTTATTATGAATATAAACATGAATAATGAAATAATACTCACTGCATTTAAACATCCGTTTGTCAGGATCAGTCGATGCACTTGATGCATCAGATTGATAGCCGATTGAAAGAAATTTTTGATTGCTGAAACGGAGTACGGTCATCAAAGCAATATCCATATTTTCATTGAACGCGCTTAATTTCTGCGGATTATGAAAGTTCTCTGTCTGACATTGTATTTCTTCATTGATTCGATTTATATTCGCGTTAGTATCGTCGTCCAAGTTTACGAATCTACCGTTAAAAATTTCGTTTATCTGTGAAGGGTTTTCGGAAAGCTTACTTTTTTCAATAAAACACATACTTTTGCTCTCGTAATCGCATGCAGCCGCAGATGCAGATGCATTTTCCTAAAATAAGACATCAAACATTTGTGAGATCCGAAATCATTTATAAATAAAATATATTTGTCGTAAATCTAAATCGCTTTATTTACATTTTTATTCAAGTAGGCTGAATCTTTATGTTACGTTTTTTATTCTAAAATCGCGTCTACTCATTTAATTTAAATTATTAATTTATATAAATAATTCTAAATTAGATATCTCGATAAGAAACTTTTTCTGAATTTCATTTATTGTTGTAAGATTTAAAATGTATCAAAGTTTCGAACCTACTTTGCATAAATATATTTTTTTTATTACTTTTATTGCTTAATAAATTATTTAGAGTTGTGAAGTTTTTCATTTTTTGATAAATAAATTTATTTGTGATTTATACAAAATGTCATGAAAATTTTAAATTTTGTTCCAATATTGTTTTTATCAATTTATGCTAAAATGCTTCAAAATTATTTACCTCTGCGGTCATCTCCGTTACAAAGCTTTTATCAAAATTAACAGTATCTATCAAGTCACATTTTTCCGAGACTTCCGTTAAAAAAAGGATTTCTTTTAAGTTTTCTTCGATAACACCACTGGACGTAAGATAAGCCAATAATAGTCCTTTATATAAGTTATATGGACTAAAGGCAAAATTGTCTTTCGAATAGAATAACTCATATTACGTAGACATTTGATCGAGAACTTGAAAAGCGCCTCCGTGAATATTTCTTCTGATAGAGAATACAAAAAATAATATGAAAGAAAAAAAGTAAAATTGACGAAAAATATAT